GAGTTGGTATATTTTGACCTTTCAACCTGAACACGACACGATTGCAAGGCCTAGGCGATCAGGCTAAAAAGTATCAAAATCAAACATTCATTAACTGACAAACTGAAAAATCTAGATAGAATCACACAATAAAAACCAGTTCTCATGATTGATTACATGAAATGTATTGATCTGTGCAAAACTGAAGTCTATGGTTTAGTCAAACATGCCTAAAAAAATCCATAACAGTAAAAAACAGAGATTAAGCTACTAAATCATACTAAACTAAATGTATGAGATGATCCACAACCATCCGATCTTCATAAAGTGATAAAATGTGTTGAAAATCGCCTGTAAACGTCTAGGTTTCAAACTGATCGAATAGGTCAAATTATTATGAAAACTAGTAACTTTTGGATCAAGGAACATGAAAATATCATCGTGTTAAGGAAAAAATGATCAAATTTTCATTTAAAATCTCCCAAAATCCTGTTTAAAGAAGTACGAGGCTATATCTGACATGAAAACCAAAAGCACCATTGTTTTATGTGGAAAAACACAATCGAATAAACACTTTGAGGTCTTGAAACTTTAAACTAAAGAAAACAACCTTTGACTGATCAATTTGATCATGTTTGTAGAGAAATCATGATTGGGTTTTGTCTTTTTTCACACAAAATACATAATAAGATCCTTCAAAAAAACTACTTCCAAGCATTCCTTAACATACTTAATAAGATCCTAGCTCCAATTAGGCTCCAATGCTCAATAAAACTAATCCGAATCTGCTCCAAAAATATCGCCCCACTTAACTTATCTGAAAATGACATCATAACATGAACAGTATGGGATTCTGACGAAATACGTGAGTTGGACATTAAGTAAGCTAATGCACATGTAAATGCGTAAATTATGAAGAAAAATGTTAATAAAAATTTCCCTAAAAGATGCATAAAATGGCATCTATCAAATCTTCCAAAGCATAAACCTTACTTGTCATCAAGTAATAAAAAAATTAAGCATTATAACCAAGATGGAGAGATGCAGAAGACCTAAAAAGAACTTAGAATAAAAACTAAAATAAAATGGAGGAAAGTAAAAACATGAACTTAAACAAGTAAAACACTTCACTTTTTTTTCATTTTACTTTTTTTTCCACATGATTAGACATTGCATCGAGGAAGCTCTAATGGAATCACTACCTAGGCAACCATCCTAATACCTTCCATCTTTCACAGACTCCCAAATTTAGAAAGAAGCTCGACAGTGTAAAGCAAGTAACCAAGTGTAACTTCTACTTTAACTTTAAACCTTTATTTTCCTTGCAAGTGAAAATATTATATTTCATAATTTTATATCCTCGAGACTAGATAATTAAGAACTAGGATCGAAACATCCTTAAGAACCCGACATGACCAAATCAGCTTTCACCGAAGAAGTCAACCCTCATGTAGCGGTCGGAACTCTATGCTTTCACTTTTTCTAAGAACGAAAAATATCAAAACACACAAGTCTTCACTTGTCAGATTTATCTTTGAAATGACTTTTGATTTGATTAAACTTGAGTTTTTGTGTCTTTGTCTTTAGCTTTGAGTTCTTTAATCAACTTTTGCACTTTTTTTTGAAATAGAAAATTACTCCTGTACCAGATTTGACAGTTTATACCCGCACCAAGCTCAGATATAACGATTTTGCTCGCTTCTTCTTTTCTTTGTTGGGTGTGTAGATATGACTTAAGGTTCTCTGTTACCATGAGGGTAATGTGTATCAACAAATATGGTCATATTATGTGGGTCCAAACTTGTCGATTAAAGTTCTTTTTAAACATTCAAAAGCAACTGATTCTGAAACTATTGTTACCGCCTATGTAGTGTTTAGGGATGCCATTCTTCTTATTTTTTACAGTCAGTCTCTCAGACCATTGTGCTTTGCAACCCATGGTTATAAGAACTATTACTAAACTTGCTACTATTGATTCCGGTAGCTTCGGACTTTCATTTTCAATATTTACAGAGCTATCCAATGTAAGAATGTCATCAACTCATGTAACTCTTTCTGAAAAAAAAAATCTTTTTTTTAAAATTTTTTGAACTTCTAGCACAAAATAAAAACTAAAATAACTAAAAATAAAATCTTTTAGGTTTTTTTTTAAATGCATAAAAAAAATTATGAATTTTTCAAATTTTTATATGAAAATAAAATCCAAAAAGGAAAGTAGAAAATTTTTTATTGAAAAACTGAAAAATTTTAAAATTTTCACAAAAATGAGAAATTTTAACACTAACCCCCTCCCTAAGCTTAGAATGATGCATTGTCTTTAATGCTCAGAGATGATTGAAAAGATCAAAAAATGTCTTCTTAAAATGATTGATAGAAAGATTATCAGAAGGTAAATTAGCAACATTTATTTTAAAGTTCACAACATCACAATCGAATTCCATAGAGATAGTATCAGCAAAAATATCAATCTTGGTTTTAGCATTTTTCAAAAGGTCTTCCCAAAATGATTGAGTTTTTGTCCGACGTGTCCAAATTTCCAATGTCCAAGATGTAAAATTAGCAGGAAAAAATTAATTCATTCACTTGGACAACAACATCCTCCAATACACCTTTTGGCCGTAGTGTTAAGTGATCAGCTGACTGAATGATAGTCCCAATCTTTTATAAAGATCTTAATTTTAATTTTTCAAATGCAGATAATGGGATGAAGTTGAATGAGACACGTAAATCAAGCATTGATTTTGGAAAAGTAATGTGTCCCAATTTAAAAGGAATCGAGAAAAATCTCGGATCTTTGCACTTTCGGAATAGTACAACTAGATTATACTCTTTCAAAATTGGCTTGCTTTGTTTGGGAGTTATTTTCTCTTCATCTCTTTCAGCTCCTTTTTAACCTAAAACTTCTTCACTTTCTTTTTTCAGCCTCCTCTTTTGGTTTAGATTTACTTGGGCCTACATAACTTTTCGCACTTATCAAGGAAATTACACTCACATGAAGTTTTAGATTGTGTTCAGTCTAAGCAAGTATTTCCCCTTGAGAATCCAATCGACCCACAAAAGTGTCAAGTTTAGACACCTGTTATTTTGAATATTTTTGTACTAGCTCAAGTTTCATTTTGGAACACATGAGCGTTGGTGGCCAGTCTTTTTACTATGTCTTTTAATGCTATGCTAAAGCTGCTAGATTGTTGATTTGAGTTCTACTGAAAATTTTGATTCGGAAACTACTGTTAATTCTAAAAAATCTACCAAAAACCCGGTAGCTGAAAATTTTACTGCTCTTAGAATCTGGGTCGATTATGATATTGTTGCCATTGATGAAAATTTTTTGAAAATTTTTGAAGATAGCTTCCGATAGATTTTACTATAGCTATGTCCTCTTGTAATAATGGGCATGTGTCAGTAGGATGGTCTGTCTTCAAGCAGATTCCACACTGTTTTTATGTAACTCCTTTTTCTTTCGTCAGCAGCAGAACTGCTTTTTTTAGTTCAAAAATTTGGGTTTCCAAATGATGTGGGCTAACTTCTTTGACTCCTCATGGGGGATCAGCAAGCCACTCTTCTTCGTTCCAATATGTTTTGACTGAATGTCAAGCTTTTCTATCAAGTCCCAAATTTATGTTTGTGTCACATCCCCTAAGGATCCACCACTTGAATCATTTACCAGGCTCCTCTCATGGGAGTCAAACCTTTACAGAAACAATTGTAAAGCTAATAATTGTTTATTCATGTTGTATGAACTTAACAAGTAGCTTTTTGAAGTGCTCCCAATACGTATGCAAAGCTTTTATACTTCCTTGTTTCATACCTTGGTATACCTCTGTCACAAGACCATGTTAAGAGTAAGAATTAAGTTTATGACCTTTAAATCATTGTAATTTTTATTTGAAAATCTAACATATCAATTCCTCATAATTTAAAAATCTATCACATTAACTTATCAAGTCATTACACTTTCAAAATCTAAGCTATGGTGTCACTATACCTTGAGAATCCAAACTTGTTTGAATTTGACTACTAATTATAGCATCGTACTGTCATTTTTTCCATTATGGTGTTATACTTAGTGTTATTACTTATTATAGTTTAGTTTGTATCAACATTTGTTCTAAGAATAATTTTACACATTATTCGTTGTGCTTGCTATTATTCTACCATCAGTGTCAAAGAGATTAGGTTACACTTATGGTTTTTCAAAAAGAAATGATCATGCATTTCCTATTTTCTTAGGATTTTATGTTATGCATCTAAAGAGGGGCGATTTAATAATATTGTATTTTTGTGATTTAGGAGGATGAGGATTCCTACAAATGGCTATTTTTTATAGATGAAATAGAGCTCTCGCTAGCCAATTGACCATTGACTGATGTGGTCATTTACCCAAGCATCACAACCAAAATTTTATCTAATTTGCAAAAATGTACTTCACCTTTGTAAATTATAGCTTTACGAAACATTTTTGATAATTTTAGTTTTTATTAGGACATTACCATTTTACTTTTTCTTACAAATTTATAATTTTTATTTGAGAAGTTTATTTATCTTTTATACGTGCATTGTAGTTTGAATTATTGCATTTTATTTTGGTTGTAATGTTCAAAGCTATCAGTTTTTATGTTCTTTATATATTTGGTACTGAATTTGAAACATGTATCAAAGGATATGAAGTAAAAGCAAAAATATTATGCCCATTCTTTTAGCAGATATAGAAACAAACCATCCATAAAACATTCACAAATCAAAAAAATGAAAATGTTGTGAGGGATTAACACAAACAAATGATAGAATTTTCCATTGCTATTAAGATGAACTAAATTGTTGCCATAATGTTTAGTAAATAATGTTCTTTTACCATATTTGAAGACAACTTTTTGGTATCTCTTTTGCTACAACTAAAAGTTCCAATGGGGACTACTTGTCCTAGGGATAATTCAATCATTGATTTTTTGCAAAATATCATCGACGGTTCTTATGTCAGACACACTTCAAAAAGGAGAAATATATTTATTGACAATACATAGTAGAAATATTATCAAAATCATTTGATTCTTCACTCGCACGTAATATCAATCCAACACTTAAATGTAAACAGTTATTGAAAAATACAAACTATAGCACATAATTTATAGTAGCTGACACTCCAACTAATTTTTCATCACGATTAACCAAATGTTGTTTAAACAAGTTTGGCGATGATTGGCAGACATACCTTTTCCAACTGATTAAGTGCCTTTTCATACTCATCAGAATCATCAAGTTGGCTTTCATTAAGAATTTTACTTGCTTTTTCTATGGCGATTTCCATTATTTCCATGTCTTTCTTATGAATCATCTTAGTATTTTTTCCTATTTTCTTGATTTTGCTTTTCACATCGTCAATGTAGCCCTCCAATGCATTACGTACAAAAGTCTTCTTCTTGTACTCCTCGTCTTGTAATTTGTACTTATGAGCATCATCAAGCATTTTTTCGATATCTTGCGTTGTAAGCCTTTCCTTGTAATTGGTAACTATAAGCCCTCTTTTTAGGCCAGTTGTTAACTCTACTCCCGAGCAATTTAAAATACCATTAGCATCAATGGAAAAGGCCACTCTTATCTTTGACTTGCCCTTTGGCGCAGGTGGAACTGCAACATCGAATTTTCCCAACCAATTATTATCTACCGCCCTACTTCTCTCACCCTGATAGATATTGCAACCGATAATCTTTTGGTCATCCTTAATAGTCACATAAGTTTTTTCATTCTTGATTGGTATTGGGGAATTTCTTTTAATTATAACAGACATAGAGCCATCATGCAAATCTGTACCAAGTGACAGAGGCACAACATCTATCAACACTAAGTTCTTAACTCTTTTACCGGTACATCCTGTTAATTTTCCAGCAAGAACTGTTGCACCATATGCAACTGCCTCATCAGCATGGATTTTCTTAGAAAGCTCTTTTCCTTGGAAGAAGTCTTTCAACATTTGTTGTACCTTGGGTATCCTGGTTGACCCACCAACTAATACTATCTCATCTATATCTTTTTTATTCATTTGTGCATCACCCAAACATTTTTCCACCATCTCTATACACTTACTAAAGAAGTCTTCATTAAGCTTTTCAAACTTTGCACGAGATATTCTCATAGAAAAATCAACACCATCATGCAAGCTGTCGATATCAATAGTAGTATCAATAATTGAAGAGAGAACTCTTTTTGCTTTTTCACAAGCTACCCTCAACCGAGATAGTGCTTTTTTATTCACACTGATGTCTATCGTATGCTTTCTCTTGAATTGTTCCACAAAATAGTCAACCATCGTGCTATCAAAGTCCTGACCACCTAAGTGAGTGTCACCGGCAACAGCCTTAACTGTTATCGTACTATTCTTATCAATGGTGACAAGAGAGACATCGAAGGTACCACCACCCAAATCAAAGATAAGCACATTTATTTGACGAGTTATATTATTTCTCATGTCTAATCCATATGCGATTGCTGCCGAGGTTGGCTCATTAATTATCTGTAGAACATTAAGTCCAGCAACATGACCAGCATCCTTTGTTGCTTGGCGTTGGGAATCATCAAAATAAGCTGGTACCGTGATGACTGCATCACGTATAATTTTACCAAGGAATTTCTCTGCAGCTTCTTTCAATTTAATAAGAACCATGGATGAAATCTCCTCTGCAGAAAACTCCTTCTCTTCACCATTGTATGAAACTACAATCTTCGGAATGTTGCTAGTTCCTTTTATGACTTTGAAAGGCCATAACTTAATGTCCTCCTGAAGTTTCGCATCATTGAATCTCCTTCCAATCAATCTTTTTGCATCTGAAAATCCACCAAGTTTATATTAATCATTGAAGAATAGCAATTTTATGAATTCTAAGAGCTTAAAACAAAGGATGAAATGAATTAAAAGGCAAACCATAAATGGTGTTGGTAGGGTTCATAGCAGTCTGGTTCTTAGCACCTTCACCTATTAGGCGTCCGCAATTCGTGAAAGCAACACAAGATGGCATTGTCCTATTTCCTTGATCATTGGATATGATCTCAACTTGGTCATTTTGCCAAACACCCACACAAGAATATGTTGTTCCAAGGTCAATACCAATAGCCGCAACAGCTTTTCTATTCATGACTGGTAAAACCTGCATTTGAAACATAATGGTTATTCATTTTGATAATTATGCTCATCTAACTCTTCAAAACTAAATGTATGTGCGCAAAATAACTACCTTTCAATAATAATAGTAAACAAACAATAATTTCAAAAAATATATGGATGGTTCTTTTATTTATTTATTTTTTTTAGAAGTTATTTAAGTTACTTTCTCAAATAAATGTTATTTAAATTAACAATTTCTATGCATTGTTTAATTAAACACTATTTTTTTCTTAATTTTAAAATTTATGAAAGGCCTCAAACAATCTTGATTATGATAAATGCCCACACATTATAGTCCTAATTTGACTTTTTTCTAGTGGAAAACAAAATTAATAAGATAACGAAGTGTTGTTCAAGTTCAATAAAGACATATTTGCTTCAATTATTCACGACACATGACTAATAGATAATCACATATTTTTTTATCAAAGCTTCTACTTTAATTTGTATTATCAAGCAATTAGTTTACGAATTTCATGTTGCTTTACCTAAATATTGTACATTTATATATATATATATATATATATATATATATATATATATATATATATATATATATATATATAGAGAGAGAGAGAGAGAGAGAGAGAGAATAGTTCACTTGATATTCTAAAGAAATAGAGATCATGATATTCAACATCAAAAACATATTACATATTAGCCGCTCTAACGCTCCAGCGTGTCGGTAATAGCAGGGTATCCCTAGTAATAAATGAATATATGATAGAGAGGTATGATCATATATGACGACACATGTTTATACACATATGTCAGAACATAAATGATCATATATACATGTCTATTTAGTAACAGATTAAATATTCATATATGATTATGGTAGTTGTTGGCAGAGGAAGTGGTGGTGACAGAGGTAGTGGTGGTATAGGTGTCGGCGGTTGCAGTTGTGAGGTGATTTACTGGTAGAGGTGGTGTTAGTGGTGGTGGCGGCGATGGACGTGATGATGGGGAAGGTGATGAGAGAAAAGGAAAAAGTATCGCAAAATAATCATTTATGGTTATAACTCTCTCATCGTGGTGATATGTCGCTGTGCTAGTACAGCAAATGAGAAATATATGACTGAGGTTCAATCTCAATATCTTTATATTTTCTAAATCTCAACGGAACACACACACACACAGATATATATATATATATATATATATATATATATATATATATATATATATATATATATATATATATATATATATATATATATATATATATATATATATATATATAGAGAGAGAGAGAGAGAGAGAGAGAGAGAGAGGACAGTTCACTTGAGATTCTAAAAAAACTAGAGATCTTGATAATTATTATACATGTTTATACATATTTCTTATTTGTCGTACTAATATTGTAGCGTACCGACAGGAAAAGAGTACGCTTAATCACAAATGATTATATAAGAGAGAGATATAAACATATATTATTATATATGTTTATACATACATGCCTAATTATAAATGATTATACATATATGTATCTTTACATAGATTGAGTAATTATATATGATTATGTTGGTTGGTGGCAATGGAGGTGGTGGTGGTGAGGAAGGTTTACGGGGGAAAAAGTAACGGACGACTGAATAACAATTTATGATTATAATTTTTCTGTCGCGCCTGTATGCCGAAGCGCAAGAGCGGTAATAAGAAATATGCGACTGAGGTTTAATCTAATGATCTTTATTTTTTTCAGAATCTCAACTGGACCTACTTTTATATATATATATATATATATATATATATATATATATATATATATATATATATATATATATATATATATATATATATATGAAAAAATGAATATATCCTTAAGGGTATATATATGCAATGTAATTGTCTAATGTTCTTATAATTCAACTTCTAACTTGATTTACTTCCATGATTTTCATAAATTTCACACTTATCTTCCTCCTACATAATTTTCATTTTCAACTATAATATATATAGCCGAGTAGTAGTTCAACAATAAGATATGATGTAAAAAGAAGATAATAGTGAAATTTCAAAAATCTTTCAAGTAAATCAAGTTATGAGTTGAAGTTTAAGAACATTATAATGAATATATAAAAAAAACATATTAAGGTGGGTTTGGGTACCTAAGTTTATATACCATTAAATGTATATTCACTTTTCCCATATATATATATATATATATATATATATATATATATATATATATATATATATATATATATATATATATATATATATATATATATATATATATATAGCTAGGTTCAAATGTTGATTGACATCTATTGTGCGAACGTGTAGACAATGATATTCTGTGAAAATGATAAATAAAATATGTCGTTTGATAGTATAAACACTTTGAATCTTACATAATTAAATCCTCTATAAGGTTATTATGCATTTTTTTTTGTTATTCTCATTTTGTCAGTATATTTATTGAGTCGTATTCTGTCAGAATAAAAATGTGTAAAAAACGATGTGTGAGAACAAAAATAAATAAGAATTTATAAGAATGTATGAAAATGATGATATTTTTGTAAGCTTAAACGTATTGACATTACTAAACAAATTATTCTCTTGATTTCTTGGTTAATTATGGTTATATATATATATATATATATATATATATATATATATATATATATATATATATATATATATATATGGTCAGGATCTTTTTGCGAACTCATATTTTTCAACGAATTTTTTCATTTTTTTAAAGTTACTTAATACATTAAATCGGTCGTATAAAAATGCATTCGAGAAAAAAAATCACAAAAAAAAAATTGCACATATTAAAAGTACGTATTTTTTACAAATTTTTTTTTTACTTCCATGATTTTCATAAATTTCACACTTATCTTCCTCCTACATAATTTTCATTTTCAATTATAATATATATAGCCGAGTAGTAGTTGAACAATAAGATATGATGTAAGAAGAAGATAATAGTGAAATTTCAAAAATCTTTCAAGTAAATCAAGTTATGAGTTGAAATTTAAGAACATTATAATGAATATATAAAAAAAAACATATTAAGGTGGGTTTGGGTACCTAAGTTTATATACCATTAAATGTATATTCACTTTTCCCATATATATATATATATATATATATATATATATATATATATATATATATATATATATATATATATATATATATATATATATATATATATATATATATATATAGCTAGGTTCAAATGTTGATTGACATCTATTGTGCGGACGTGTAGACAATGCTATTATGTGAAAATGATAAATAAAATATGTCGTTTGATAGTATAAACACTTTGAATCTTACATAATTAAATCCTCTATAAGGTTATTATGCATTTTTTTTTGTTATTCTCATTTTGTCAGTATATTTATTGAGTCGTATTCTGTCAGAATAAAAATGTGTAAAAAACGATGTGTAAGAACAAAAATAAATAAGAATTTGTAAGAATGCATGAAAATGATGATATTTTTGTAAGGTTAAACGTATTGAAATTACTAAACAAATTATTCTCTTGATTTCTTGGTTAATTATGGTTATATATATATATATATATATATATATATATATATATATATATATATATATATATATATATATATATATATATATATATATATGGTCAGGATCTTTTTGCGAACTCATATTTTTCAACGAATTTTTTCATTTTTTTAAAGTTACTTAATACATTAAATCGGTCGTATAAAAATGCATTTGAGAAAAAAAAAATCACAAAAAAAAAATTGCACATATTAAAAGTACGAATTTTTTACAAATTTTTTTTTTATGTTGCAAATGAACTTCTACAAGACCGACTAATTTCTTAAGTCGGTATTTTATTTTAAATTCATAAGAAAAAATTCGTGGAGTTCACCGGAGAGTGTTGGTTAGCAGAAAAAAGTTACTTAATACAATATTTGAGTTGAAGACTTGCCGTTTATTTTGAGGTTGATCTCTTGTTCTTGTGTATGTCCTATTTTCCAGCATGTACATTAATCAGAAACACAATAAAGAGTTAGGTTCGTGTCACATAATAATAAGCTTTTAAAAAGCAAAACGCATTAAAGAAACTCGAATCTATTATGATTCGGATTTTGACCTGCTCTTTTGGAGATTTTTTCACAAGAAATTATCCGTAGCTAAAAGGTTCATGGAAAAATATCTCATAAACGATTTATAACAACACTTTGTATTAATCTTACCTTTTCAAATTGAATGTATGAATCCATTCTTCCCCATCCCTTCATCTATATATACATAGCAATTTCAAAGTTATATTTGTTTTCCTTTTGTATTATATTGAATTTTTAAAGACTTGGAATTCGTAGACTTGGAATTCGTTGTATATTATCTGGTTATTAAAAGACTTGATGGGAAATACCCACTTGTTTTATATTAACCATTTGACTTATAATATAGAAGAAATCTTTGTATATTATCCGAGATTATTAAAAGACTTGACGGGAAATACCCACTTGGTTTATATTAACCATTTGATTTATAATATATAGAATTTTTTAAGGGTGAGTAGAACCGAAGAATAAAAAAACAAAAAAAATCGAAAAAATTGAAATTAAAATAGAAACTGATGTTTCGGGTTTGAGTGTTTTTAAAACCCGAAACAATAGGTTTAGTTTCCATTTCAGTATATGTAAAAGCCTAACCGATATATATATATATATATATATATATATATATATATATATATATATATATATATATATATATATATATATATATATATATATATATATATGTTCAGTTATCATGTTTTGTAGTTTAAAAATAAATAATATTATATAATATTGAGCGTTGAGTTCTAACAGACAATTTTTACTAGAAATGAAGTAAAATTATGTTTATAATCACTCGAAAAATATTGAAAGTCTTATAAGATTTCAATCAAAAGTCAAATATTGAAATTTAATGAAATATAAAATTTGAGATAAGTAAAATTTTATTATTGAAAGTTGTAGATAATTTCGTTAGAAACATTTAGACGAAAACCTCATCGAAATCCGAGTTATAACGAAGAAGTTATGATCAATCGAAGATTCGCGACAAAAGTG